GCTCTCTCTTTAGGAGTCACACTGAGATCTGCTGAGCCAATAAGCTGCAAAATTCTTTGTTGTGGCTAACTCTAGACCACCAGGCAAACCACAGGGGAAAGACCAAGACACACAGCAGTGCTGAGAACACAGGTCAGACCAACGTTCAAGCTGGCACTGCAAAGGAACCTGTGGGAATGAATGACCCAAAGCCCATTGAATGTGACTACATAAAAGTTGAATGGATTTCAAGGGCGTCTGAGGTCTGGCCAGGATGGAGGTGTCAGGGGAAGAATTCTGCAGAGAAATGTCTAAATTAACCGGAGCCCGCTGGGATTACCCCAAGAGTTCAGAGGGTATGAGGAGGAGTAACGGTAGTTCAAATTAGGAGCTTTAATTCGAACTACCTAGCCCATGCTGTGAGTAGCTGCGGGCAGGTAGTTCGAGCTACCGGGCATTTAAAAATGGCGGTGCTCGGGAACATGCAAATGAAGCCTGGGATATTTAAATCCTGGGCTTCATTTGCAAGTTCAAATGACTATATTAGGCACCCTAGTTCGAACGAGGGTGGCAGTGTAGACATACCCATAGATATGAGACTGGAAACCTACTGACTGTGTTCTGTAGCCGGTAGCTTGAATTGGCCTCTGTACCACACACCTGGTGAGTAGCTAATGGAAACTGATTTTTCAAAAAAGGTTGAGAGGAGATGCTGGAAATTCCAGGTTATTACGTCTGACTGCAGAACCAGGCAAATGGATTGAACTAATGATACAGACCAATAATCAGGCATATAGATTAACATGATTGGCTGGGGAAGTATGAACCTTGCGACCAGTTAACATGTTTTTTGCAAGAGAAGCAGAACAAATGCCAGGAAAAAGGGCTAGGACCAGATGGCTAGGCATGTCGGTATGTCTCAGCTGGCATGGAGTACAGGGAGAGGATCTCAGGATCCTGGCTCTGGGCCCCCTCCCCCCAAGCTGGGCTGTTCCCAGTTCCTGTGCTGACAAGTCTGTTCTACGCTGTGTCCTTGTGAACTCCCTGCTGGCTGGGAGTCATGTCTGGCTAGCGATGGAGGGCAGGGTCTCAGCCATTGTGGGGCTGGGGTAGCGTCCCTCAGTGAGTCACACCCAAAATTCCCATCCCCATCTAGGTATCAGTGCAGTGGGCTGGGAAACTGAGGCACACACATTGGGTTACAATAGAATGGACATGCAACATAACAAGGGGAATAAAATCCTCACCCCAGCACAATAGGGTTAAGGGAAGAGCCTGAAGAAATTACAAAAGGGTTGAAGAACTTGCCCTATGGTGTTATACTCAAGGAGCTCAAGGAGAAGGGTGAATTGGTCAAAGTCTCTGAGTTCCCACAAACAGTAGAAATATTTATAATCGGCTTTTCAATCAAGCAGAGAAACGTCTAATGCGATCCAACGGCTGGAAGTTGAAGCGAGACAAATTCGGCCTGGAAACAAGTGGTTAATTTTTACAATGTGTTTAATTCAGCTTTAAAAAAAAAAAACGTATTCAGCTGTGGTGGATTCTTTGTCAGCAGCCACTGAAAAAAACAATTGGATGTTTTTTATTGATGATCAACTCCAGGAATTATTTGGGGGACATTGTCTGGTCTGTGCTAGATAGGAGATCAGATGACATGATCACATCGTCTGGCCTTAGAATCTACAAATTTATGAAGTGGTGCTTTGTCCTGTTACAGGAGCGCTGTGTAGCTGAGTACAGGTTGAACCTCTCTAGTCCGGCAACACCTGTGGTCCGGCATGGTTTGAGTTCACCGGATGCCCACTGATCACGGGTGTGGCCAAGTTTCCCACGATCCCATAAAGTTTGTTTTCAGCCCCCAGGCCTGGCTCTCAGTGCTCTGTGCTGTGATTTGGCTCTAATGTACCCCTCAGTGTCTTCTTAGAGCCCAGTAAGCAGTGGAAGTGTTGGTGATGCTGCTAGACAATACTGACCTCCCATGGTCTGGCAAATTCTCAGGTTCGGCACCAACTGGGTTGTGAGGGTGCCAGACTAGAGAGGTTCAAACTATACCAGTAAGTAGAGACTAGATCAGGTGCTAATGGATTGTAATCAAGTACAGGCAGTTCCTTACCCATAACCAGACCTGCCAAGAGGGGGGCATAGGAGACAGGTTCCCTGGGACCCAGAGACTCAAGGGGGCACTGGAGCTCTGGGCCCCTTTGAATTGCCACCGGAGTGCCACATTGGGCGCTCTGCGTGGCTCTGAAGGCGGTGAGGAGGGGCATGCTATGGTCTGGGTGGTGCAGAGGGCTGGCTTCCCTTAGCTCCGCCCCTTCCACTCAAGGGTCTGCTCCTTCCAGGACACGGAGCTTCCCCCCCAGATTGGGGCTCACGGTGGCTGTCAACCCCATTGTACTTATCACTCATTAATGTGAAATAGTGATAGAAATGTAGCCGTATTAGTCTGGGGTAGTTGAAGCAAAATGCAGGACAATGTAGCACTTTAAAGACTAACAAGATGGTTTATTAGATGATGAGCTTTCGTGGGCCAGACCCACTTCCTCAGATCATTAATGTGACTTCTTTTACGAGCACTTGGTGGCAAAACAATGACTCTTGTCAATATTTCATGGATTGGGGAAAACAAGGCGAAGGGAGGGACTTTGGGGAGATACTAAAGAACAAAAAGGGGGGATGCCTTTGGAAAAGGCAGCATTCGTGTGCCGGTTTTGTAGCGGCTAGTACTGGTGCTTTAAGCAGGAGACAAACTGGACTTAGCAGAATGTCCCATTTTAGAGGGGTCGCCGGGTGTGTCTGTTTCAGCCAAAATAACAAGGAGTCTGGTGGTACTGTAAAGGTGAACAATTCTGGCTTATTACTAGGCCATAATAAGAGGGCTAGTCTTTAAGGTTGTATTAGCAGAATGCGTTCTTCCCTCTAGGGACGTCTGCAAATTCTCTTCTGATCAGACATCCCCGGGGATGGGGAAGCGAGGGAGGAATATAAAATAGCTAATTTGAGCTGCAGTGCATTATTACGGTAGGTGGGAGAAAGACAGCTGGATGGTGTTAGAAAGAGATTCAAACAGACCAGATCTCTGGTTTTCAAGTAGTAGATTCCATTTACACAGACAATGCTTCACACTCTACCAACACGGCAAAGGGTCCTTAAAGCAGAAGTGATTTAAAATCATCATACACAATTTAAGCTGCCAGAACATGGGTAAAATGTGTAGAGACCTACATGGAAATGAAAATTGGGTGAAAAATCTTCCTTAATCTTAGATCCATCTAGTATGGGGAAAGTCAAGATGGACCACCTTACACTGGGCCAAGGCTCTGGAAAGAAAATGAGTGGGAATCAAGGAAGTTTTCATTGACAAATCTTGCCAACAGAGCTGGTAAGTTCGACCCAGATACACCTGGAAGTGTAACTGAAAGTAGCTGAATTGTGAAATAATTTTGACTTTCTTGGTAAGGCGAGCCAGCTTAAAATTCCCACTGCCCTTCCAGAGGTTGGCCTGACTGAGGAGTCAGCCAAGCTGTAGAATGGGTACATCTTACCCATTTTGTAATATGCCATAAAGTGTAGGATCAACAAAATTAAGTAGGTCTCAGAAGGTTCGCTGTGTGAGCCTGTTTCAGCAAAAACAAAAAGTATCACCTGAAAGGCACACACCCGTTTTAGGGCAAAAGCTTTCATGAGCTATAACTCACTTCCTCAGATGCTTCAGAGAAAAGAAAAAAGGCAGGGAAACAGAAAAGGGAGTCTGAGACCACTACGACTTAAATCAGAATGGATCTACAACAGTGATAAGAAGGTAAGAATATCTAAAGGGGAAATTACCTATTGTTATGTAAGAACCACTATCTGGAGAATAGCATCCAGTTCTGGGCCCCCCACTACAGTAAGGATGTGGACGCATTGGAGAGGGTCCAGCGGAAGGCAACAAAAATGATTCGGGGGCTGGAGCACATGACCTATGAGGAGAGGCGGAGCGATTTGGGCGTGTTCAGTCTGCAGAAAGGAAGAGTGAGGGGGGATTTGAGAGCAGCCGTCAGCTCCCTGAAGGGGGGTTGCAAAGAGGATGGAGAGAGGCTGTTCTCAGTGGGGGCAGGTGGCAGAACAAGGAACAATGGGCTCAAGTTGCAGTGGGGGAGGTCTAGGTTGGATATCAGGACAAAGGATTTCCCTAGGCGGGTGGGGAAGCGCTGGGATGGGTTCCCTAGGGAGGGGGTGGAATCTCCATCCCTAGAGGTGTTTAAGACAATGATGTGGCTAAAGAGGTTTATATCGTTCTGGGGGACATATCGGGAATGTGGTGTGTAAGATGCAGAGGTGAATTGTTTCACCGACTGCATTGGAGTACTGTGTTGGGGCCAACAGGAGACGATCCAGTGGAAACGTGACCTAGGAGGAAAGGTTTAGAAAACTGGGCATGTTTAGTCTTGGGAAAAGAAGGCTGATGAGGAATCTGCAAATGTACAGGCTGCTGTAGAGAGGACAGTTATCGCTAGTTCTGTGTGTTCGCTGGAGGTAGCAGAACAGGGAGATGCGGGTTATGTATCGGGAAAAGCTTTCAAACTCTCAGCAGAGTTGAGATTTGTAACAGCTTTCCAAGGGAGATGGCGGAAGCCCCTTCTTTGCAGATTTCTAAAAAGATATTAAACAAACTACCATCAGGCCTGGTTGAGGTTTCCTTGACCTCCCACCGTACAGGAGGCTGGATCAGCTGACTTCCTGAAGCCCCCTTCTTGCCCTACCATTCTATGATTCCATTACTGGAATCTGAATTTCTTTTGTTGAGGAACACCCGCCCCCCAAAAAAATTATTTAATGGGAATAATTTTTGTTAACATCACTAACCAAATCACTATGTAATCAAGAAGCCATTTGCCACCTAAAATGTTTAAATGGATATGAATCATAGAATCATAGAACTGGAAGAGACCTCAGAAGGTCATCAAGTCCAGCCCCCTGCTCTAGGAAGCTATATGAAAACAAAGGGACTGAGAGGGGCCATGATAGCAGATTTCAAGTATCTAAAAAGGTGTTATAAGGAGGAGGGAGAAAAATTGTTCTCCTTGGCCTCTGGGGATGGGACAAGAAGCAATGGGCTTAAATTGCATCAAGGGAGGTTTAGGTTGGACATTAGGGAAAACTTCCCAACTGTCAGGGTGGTGAAACACTGGAATGAGTTGCCTAGGGGGGTTGTGGAATCTCCATCTCTGGAGAGATTGAAGAGCAGGTTGGACAGACACTTGTCAGGGATGGTCTAGACGGTGCTTGGTCCTATTGGGGGAACAGAGGATGAGACTTGATGGCCTCTTGAGGTCCCTCCGAGTCCTAGTATTCGAGGAAATGTTTCAAGGATTTCTAATAATTTACCTTCTTCAATTCACTGGCTCAGTAATTGAGCAGAGGCAAGTAAAGAATATATCTGTTGCCAGCTGGCTTGCTTGCTGCTCCATCTTCCTGATGGTAGATGGTGTAGCAAACCGTAAAACTACTACTGAGTGCTGTCGCATGATAACGTTGGGATGCTGGCCAGTAAAGCTCGCCAGGTTGCTCAGTACTTCTGTCCTTGGTTATAATTGACAGCTGATAAGGCAGCCTACTCGTTCATGACAGCCCAATGGTACTCTTAAATGGTTTGGGGACCCAGACAAGTTTGTTGCCTCCTGGCGATATGAGACACACCCTGGCTCTGTGGTTACAATACATGAAGACATGAGTGCCTACTAGCAAAGAATGATCCATCGGCAGCATGAATTTTGGCCTTTCCTAAGGCCAAGCAAAGAGTTTAGGTGCAGTACTCTGCTATTTACAGGCTAAAAGAAATAATAACACACACCACTTCCACACCACCTTATATATTACATGACACCTCTTTGTAACCTCCCCTTGTTCCCAGTATCTCAGACACAGCATTTTTATGTTCCATCAGACCAGCTCGGCTTTTATTAGTTTGGGATGTATCTGAACTAGCTGGGATATATTTACGTGAATAGCTAGCGCCTCGCATGAGAACAAGTTTCCCAAAAAGGTCAGACATTAAGTCCCTTTGGAGTTCAGAAGTATGCAAGTAACTTAAGAGTAGAAATCCTAGAACTGTCAATGGGACTTGTGAAAAAAAAACACACCCAATTTGTCCTGAGCAGACAACAAAATTATTGTCAAGGTGAGACATGAATGGGCCAAATCCTGTGGCTTTCTCAGGAGTGGATAAAGGAGAGTGGATGGGCTCTATCACTGAGGTGATGTCTAGATTACACTGATCTATCGGAAAAAATACACAAATTGTGCTCCACAATTTGCATACTTTTTTCCAATAGTTTTTCCGGAAGAGGCTTTTCTGAAATTTGGCCCATCTACACTGGGCCAAATTTAGGAAAATCTTTGGAAGAAAGTAGTCACAACCATATATACCAAAGGATACAATTTAAAAAAAAAAAAAAAAAAAAAAAAAAAAAAAAAAAAAAAAAAAAAAAATATTAAAGAGCAGAAGTGTTCCCTGGACACAGTGGAGTTTTTTATCCCACAAAACCTCTGTAGTCTAGACGTAGCCTGATACAGGAATGATACCTGTCAGCCCTCATCTTCAGGGGCCTTAGAAGGGACATGAGAAGAGATCTCATCTCTGGAGTAGAGATGGAAAGAAGGCAGGACAGTGTTAAGAAATACCTAGTTTCCTTTCTTGATACACAGATATTTAGGCCTGCCTGTAAAAGCCTATACATGAAGAATTTGGGTGTGTTCCTACTATTTTACTAGTTACAGGGGTATAAGAACAAAGTATCAATATCAGAGTCTATCTATCTGAGGCCTTCTTAAGCTAGGAAGATACATTCCAAACGTTTCAAACCAGTCATTGAAACTAAGGAGGATAGTTTTCTGTCTGGCCAGGGACCACGCCCCATCTCTATTGTTGCTTTGATTGTCTCTGTCTCCTTTCTAATTAATTTTGTTGCATGTAAACCAGTTAAAGTGGTGGGATATAATTGGTTAGAATGGTGTCCAACCAGTTCTGATATGGCAAACGAGCCACATTCAACCAGCTAAATAACCACATGTGGCTAGTGACTTGGGGTTTGGACACCATGATCAAGTTACAACACATTAGGATTGCATATTTGAATTTTAGTAGAATGATTGGTTAGGCTGTACCTGAAAATATTGCTATATTCATTGCAGATAAACAAAAAGGCAGGGGGCGGGGAGTGGGGCAGGGTAATCAAAGGAAAAAGGATAGCAAACTGGATTACTGCTTGCAGGAAGTGAACACCAATAAACATTAAATTGCTTGCATCACTGGACATCGGGTATTGCTGTTCTCCATCCACATGAGAAGGACCAGGGAGGTAGAGAGTGAAGGGATAAGCCCAAAAAACACTTCTCTTCTCTCAGCCTTAGCACCAGACTTCTAGGGTCAGCCCTTTCACACACCCAAATGTGTATTCAACATGTGTAAATGCCTTATGTTCTTCCGTGTCTTGACAGAGAGATAACATGGCCGGGATAGAAGTAAGAAATCAAACCAGTGTGCAGGAGTTCATCCTTTTGGGCTTTCACGGCACTTGGTTTTTCCAGATGTTTCTTATTGTGGTGTTTGCTGTGATGTACTTTCTAACCATCGTAGGGAACGGGTCCATCATCGCCCTAGTGAGGATCCATCCACGACTCCACACTCCTATGTATTTCTTCCTCTGCAATCTCTCTGCCTTGGAGGTCTGGTACATCACCGCATGTGTCCCGAAGGCTATTGGTGTCATGTTGGGCACAAGCCAAACCATCTCGTTCACTGCCTGCCTCCTGCAGATGTTTTTCCTCCTCTTCTTGGGTTCCACAGAATGTTTGCTCCTGGCTGTCATGGCCTACGACCGCTATCTGGCCATATGCTACCCATTGCGTTACAGCGCCCTCATGAGCAGCACCTTCTCTGCTCAGCTGGCTTTCTTCTCTTGGCTGGGTGGGTTCCTGGTTGTCTCTCTGCTGGCAGCACTAATATCAAGGTTGTCTTTCTGTGGCCCAAAAGCCATCAATCATTTCCTTTGTATCATTGATTCCGTGATAGCGCTCTCTTGTACGGACACGCACCTCGTTGAGCTGGCCACGTTCATCGTCTCAATCATTGTTATCCTGGGCTCATGTTTGATAACTGTGGTCTCCTACATTTACATCATCTCCACCATCTTGAGAATCCCATCAGCCCAAGGCCGGCAAAAGGCCTTTTCCACCTGCTCAGCCCATCTCGTCGTTGTATCCATCTGGTACGGATCCACCATTTTTCTGTTTGTCAAGCCTTCAGCACAGAATTCCTTGGACTTGAACAAAACAGTCAATATCTTTAACACGATCGTATCTCCACTATTAAACCCTTTCATTTATGCGCTAAGAAACAAAGAGGTAAAGGAAGCCTTGGGAAAGACGTTAAGGAGGCTATTAAGTGGTTTTGAAACATCATGAATTTAGCAGAATTGGAAGAAGAGGAGTAAGTCAAAGATTTTCAAAGGAGAGCCAACTGCTTTTTTTTCCAATCGCTGTTAGACTTCTACATCCTCTCTCAAAGCCAAATGTTACATTTCCTTAGTGTGTGTCGTGTGTTTGTTTTACAGTTTTTCTCACTTGCTATACCAATCTGCTATTCACTCCTAGACAAGCTTAAGTGGAAGGAGGCAACTTGCTTTATGCTAAAGATTCTGAGATGCTAAGTTTCCCTATCACTTAGCAGGACCTCACAGTTCATTGAACTATTTCCAAGGAAATTATACTCTCACCTTGGAGAGAGCTAGATCAAGGTACCATTTCAAAGCAGCCCATGGGAATTTCATCGCTTAAAATGTATTGAATTTCAATAAATGTTAGATTTGGAACTTTCTTACCTGCTTTGAAATTCCATCTTTCATATTCAGTCTCCTCTACTGATATTTCTAGTAAAGTTTTTTTTCTACTAGTGGTAAGTTCAATGATGTGATGGAACCTTAAGCAAGAAGGCTGTACCAGTTAAAAACTGACCTGGTTACTGGGGAAGTGAAGGGAGCTATTACAACCTAAAACATAAAATGATGAATAACAAATGAAAGAAAGGGAAAGTTGATAGCATTGAGTATGAATCAGTGGTTAGGAATTGTAGGAAATGGATCCGGGGAAGAAAATGGACACAATGAGAAATCGATGGTGAGCCTAGTTAACGATAATACTAGCTTTTGGTTGCTTGCTTGGTTGGTTTTTTAATATATTAGGGTAGACAAGATATTGCCTCTTTCTAAATACAAACAGTATAATGATTTTATAATAAAGTCCAAGGATTAAGTTGGGAAGATTTGAGAGAGTAAACATCACGGATAGGACTCAAGTGGGTGAAACTCTCTCACCCTCTGAAATATTACGGGAGCTAAGATGCTTTACGGTACCACAGACACACAGCTATACAATGGCTGCTTGGGCCACCATATCATAGAACTGTAGAATCCCAGGGTTGGAAGAGACCTCAAGAGGCCATCGAGTCCAGCCCCCGGCCCAAAGCAGGACCAGCCCCACTAAACAATCCCACAATCTCATTTGATTGTGTCTGCACATGTAAAGGAACAGCAAAAGTTGTTCTGGTGGAAAAAAAAGTCCCAGAATTGAACAGCACAAGCATGGGCTGGTTAGGTCTAGGCATCCTCAGAGCAATCAGTACTTGGGCGTCACAGCCTATATTGGCCCTACATGGTAACCAGGCCCAAAGCTCGCTGTCGCCAAAGGAAAGATTCTCCCAGCGGGACTCACTGGGAGAAGAGATGGCCATTCAGGGGTATTGCCTTGCCCTACCCCCGAAAGTGGAGAGCTGGAAACAAATGGGAAAGTGTCCACTGAAGCCACGTTGGTGGTAGGACGCCTTGTGTTTGTTTCGTGACAGCAGGGGAAGATCCCAGGTGGTCATTCTTTAGCTCTGTTGCTCTTGCAGTGATGCACTGACCCATCCAAAGCTAACTTGCATTGGTCTGGGGCAACAGCCTCCTCCCCAACCTAAGCACCCCTATGTCTACTGGCTTGCTCATCCCAGCCTTGGTGTCATTGTGACCTGTGAAGGAGAGGAACAGATCAGGATGACATTGGCAGCAACCGTCTTCTGACTTATCATAGAACCATAGAGCTGGAAGAGACCTCAGAAGGTCATCAAGTCCAGCCCCCTGCCCAAGGCAGGACCAATCCCAACTAAGTCAACCCGGCCAGGGCTTCATCAAGCCGAGACTTAAACACCTCTAGGGATGGAGATTCCACTACTTCTCTAGGGAACCCATCCCAGTGCTTCACCACTCTCCTAGGGAAATAGTTTTTCCTCAGATCCAACCTGGACCTCTCTCACCACAACTTGAGCCCATTGCTCCTTGTTCTGCCATCTGCCCGCACTGAGAACAGTCTCTCTCCATCTGCTCCATGGCAGACTGAGGGGGTTTTCCGGAATACCAGAGGTGTCCCGGAAAAACTCTGCTGTGTCCAAGGAATGCGTTTGCTCTTCCGCTTAATTTTTTTGCAGAAGAGCAAAAGCGCTCTTTCTGGGAGCCCTGTATATCTCTTTCTACAAGGAATAAGGGCTCCCCCGAAAGAGGAGGCTTTTTCACCATTTGACCCCATCTAGAGAGGACCAGATGGTGGAAAAGCCTCTTCCAGAAAAGCAATCGAAAAAAGCCACGCAATTTGTGGAGCACAATTTGCGTAGCTTTTAAAAAAAGAGCTATAGGGTACACCTAGCCTAGCTGGGTGGGGAAGCACCGGGATGAGTTCCCTAGGGAGGGGGTGGAATCTCCATCCCTAGAGATTTTGAAGTCCCAGCTTGACAAAGCCCTGGTTGGGATGAATGAGTTGGGATTGGTCCTGCCTTGGGCAGCAGGCTGGACTCGATGACCTCATGAGGTCTCTTCCAAACCTGTGATTTTTTGATCCTATGATTTTATTTTTGTCCTTCTCTAGAAATGGTCGGTGATCCTATCAACATAATGTAGGAACAGGTTTTTAACCCAGTGTAGAAGTATCCCATTGATATGCTGGTAAAATGCCAAACTATGGTCTCTGGCTAAGCTTTCCAGAGGTCTGCTGTTCAGTTGGCCTAAGACCCATAAGGCCTAGCTGGCCTAGGTGAAGCCTTGATTTCAGTGGAAAAGCAGGATGAACTTAAAAAGCAGCCCTGCCTGTTTTTCCTAAAGTAGAGAGCCAAAAAAGCATAACATTAGGTAGGGCGTCATAATTAAACTCTCATATAAGTTTCACACACCTATGCAAGGTCAAAGCTCTGGAAGGGGCCTTAGAGTCTGCCATTCTCCTAAGAAACAAACAACAGCTGCCTTCTCAAAAAGCCAACCACAAATCGTTGCTAAGGAACTAAAGCTAGCGCCTCCACCCCTCCCCCCCCCCCCCCCACGGACCCCCACGTC